CAAGTTTTTCAATTAAAATTAAAATCTGTATAGGGTACATAAAAAAAAAGGAAGAACCGAACATTTTCGATCGAGACAGGACAGAAGGATTTCCTTCAATGTTCAATTACAGCAAGGATCAGAGTACCATTTTCGTTATAGATAATTCATTTTATAGTAACCTTCGATGCACAAGTAGTTGGTGAAATATTCAGTCTTAGTTCTCCGCTTAGAAATGCCTTGCCAACAAAATTTCTGTTTTGTATTAAAAAGTGCAATGTCTGAATAAACAAAGTTTGCGTCAGCCTTATGTTTCCAGAACTAATTAGAGAAGGAAGAAAAGTCAAAATCAAAACACCTCTAAAAACAGTTCTTGCAAATTGTTCGACGAGCAACATCATTTTTATTTCTGTGAATTGTTTAACGTTAAGAAAAGCTGAGAAAACACTTTCATTGATGATTTTTGTATACCCTAACGAATGTTCTTTCTAATTGTGCATAGGAAATTAAATTTGATCCTAGTTTTAATACGAATACATTGCTTCTTTTTTGAGAGACTGAATAAATTTGTTATTCTCACTATCTCGCTACTTTGTAACGGTAAAAAAATATTTATCGAATTATTTCTTTCTGTTAAATTTATATGATCTTATATATTTTGAATGAATAATGCAAAATAGATCGACTTCACACATAGTTTCTGATGATGATGGCTGATATTGTTTCAGACTGATAGTTCTTGGGAAAAGGGTCTGTTTTCAAAAAAATTTCGTTTTTCAAATCTTTTAGATTAAACAGTCAAGAATGAATCTAAAAATATTTAACAATGTTGATACCGATAGAGTTTTTGATGCGCTACATTTTACTGTATTTTTTTGTGAACATTTAAACCATGTAGCCTAAAATAATTGAGAATCACACATTTGTCAAGCTGCAAAAGTCTGCAAAAACATTTTTAGAGGTGTTTGCTTTTTTGATTTTTCTTTCTCTCAGATTTGTTCTGGAAAGATATAGCTGATACAAACTTTGTAGTTCAGAAGTTGCTCTTTTCAATAAGCAAAATTTACTTTGCACGATGTTCCTAAGCGAAGAACAATGACTGAAGATTCCGACAATTTGGCATTGCAGATTATTTATGGTATGTTCAGTTTTATTCATACTAAATGAAAATAAAGAGTTCATTTAAATATTAAAATTTATTTTTTATATAAAGCTGAAATTTTCTTATCGGAACAAAAAAAGACTAATATTTTTCAATGTTTCATTATTGCATTGTATTTTTAAAAAATACTGTTTTTTCACTTTCACCGTCACATATCCATCAAAAATCTATTTTCAGGTGTATAAAAAGGTATTGTTTTTCCAAGTACAAGTCGCATTTCATCAACCAATCGGCACCAATTTGATGATAATGTACCAGCATGTAAGTCTGCATTAACTTCAATGAATAAATCACTAAGAAATTCTAATACGATTTTTCCACGTTGCTCCTTATTCATAGCATTTAATGATGCAAAAACAACATTTCTTTGTACTGTTATGTTTAATAATTTATAATAGCCTTGTTTTTCTTTATTGATTTGAACAAATTCATTGAATACTTGTTCATCTTCGGAATTAATATAAACTGTGCTGATATTCGCTCGTCTAGCATCAGTATCAAATAAATCAAAATATTGTTTAAGTGTATATGCTTGAGACATTTCTTTACTTCGAACTTTATCTGATCGACGTACATATACAGCAATATATGGATGATGAAGATCAATTGAAGGTGGTTTAAAAGATTGTGCTATAGTTTTCTGTACGTGAGCTAACGTTTCAGATTTATATCGCATTAAATAAAATAATAATTGTGCACGATACCAATTAAATGTTCGATTTTGAAATATAGGTGGAAGAATAGGTTTACCCCAATGACCCATATTAGCATTGATTTTAATTGCTTGATTACCATCGACTTTCGATGGAATTGAGCAATGAGTTATAGGCAGAAAAAAACAATCTGGTGTACCTGAACTACAAGATCCATAAAGCTAAAATAAAATCAACTATTAAGATTACTAGTTGCTTTTTCAGTAGCGTTTAGAACTTTTCTGACAATGCCGATCTTCATTTCCATAGTTAATTACAAGGATATAAGAATAAGGATTCGTTCTTCTGAACTGTACAACTTGATTAAATTTTGATTAGAATATCTTATTTACAAGAAAAGAATAAGTTCAAAGTTGTGACCACTCTCAAAAAACAAAACTCATGATCAACACAATTTTACAAATAAACGACAGGAGGTAGCTGTATTAAATTTAAGGTACTCATCTACTACGTCAGTTGTTAGCAGGGTGTTTTTTCAGGTACACTGTTGAGAATTGTCTCAATGCATAGGTACTTATTAGGTACCTGCCTATTTTTTAAAGAATTTCAGGAAGAATTTTTCAACAATTTAGTAGATTGAACATGCAGACATTTTTTAGTTAAGTATCAGAAAAGCCATAAAGCACCAACATTTGTTCGTGAAATACCGATATCAAATAAGCTCAGAGCTTAGTACACTCACTAAGTTATTGCCTAGGTTTTATTTAAATGATATCAACCTATTTTACCCAATTTCCTGGAGTTTGATATACAGCAATTCTATTATCCGATATTGCCATACCAAATGCCCACACAATTTGATGAACAGTTGATCCAATACCGGACCAAGCAAAATTCTGAATAATAGCAATACGTTTATTGGTACAATCTATTGGATGTTGATGCTCATAAAGCCAATTTTGGGCTTCTATTGTATTCTGTATTGAGAATTCATTTTTTGATGTATGGTCACATGAATCAAGTTTATCTAATTTGGGTCCGCCAACATATTCAACAACACGACATGGTAGAAGTTGGGCGAGACGAAAATAATTTTCATCAGCTAAACGCATTGACCAAACGTGTGTAAAATTATTTCCATAAGTAAATGTTTTTATCGATTGTTGATTATTTGTTGCTGGTCTTTGATTTAATTTTATATCCGACGAAAATACAAGACGTATTTTACTTTTTGTTTCATTAAAACTTGAGCCAAGAAGAAAGCCTAATATAAAAGCGAACGCAAATAAAATGAAACCAAAAGTATTCTTAATAGATGTTGTCTGTGATGATCCATTAATTATGAAATATTTCATAGTGAATAATGGATGAATTAAAGCTTATTAGGTGGAGAACATATTTTACATTATAATTTCTTGAATATGAGTCAACTATTTTGTTAATTTTAAGATAATGTTTCAAAAACTTTGTCGAGATAAACTTTTACTTACATCAACAATCATATGAATAATATTATCTAGAAAATATCGGTAACATTAAATATTAGCATTGGCAAAAAATAGGATTTTTAAAAGGATAAAATACTTCACACCTAGGCTTCAAAAATTCCTTTCTGCTTATGAAAAAATTTTAAACTGTCAATGTCTTCATCGCAATAATATCATACATCTATTACAAATATAAATTATCTAATATCAAGGTTATATGATAGGTAAGAAAATTTATTGAAGCGTATCGAGCAATGTAACTGTCGATCTCTTGATTGGAGCACGGTAATGACAGATTGGTCAGTCTAACGTCTGTACCGGTTCTATCTCTGATGAAATCTACAAAGGTTGGAATTCTACAGTTGAGATTCAGCGCATGGTAGCTTAATATCAAACTAATTGAACTAATTTCGATGTTTGAACTTCTTTTATATGAGTGACATCTAACGACGGACTCATTTTTTATGAGATGAAATTGTCTTCAATCTTATTTTAACTTGCTATTGTGATCTGTGATAATTTTTAATTCACGTTAAGTGAACTAAGATACATATGTACGACTGAATAAAGCTGTTCGAAGTCTGCTAGTCTTATAAAATAAGGAATTGAGAAACTGCATTTATATAGAAAAGGATAGCCCATAAACCCTGTTCAAGAGAAAGAGCTAACGATTAGTAATCGTTTTCAATTCTTGCCAATCATAAAGCTGTAACCTGTCACACAGATAGTGAAGGTCAGGTTTAACTGGATATTCCTTCATTGCATTATCTTAAGAGAGAACGTCCACTAGACCACCACCTGTAGAGATGATGGGAAAATTTTAGTTTTTCAAATGAATTGGCTAGCTTGAAAAAGCATAGAAATTGGAATCAGGAATCCATTTTTTGGCAATGTCTTCTAATACTTCGGCTACCTAATAGTTGTCACTCAAAACGTCGGTGTGTCAAAAACTATTGTTTTTCGATCGTTTTTGTTTATGAATTTTTTTTCACAAAAATTCGATCAAATCCATTATCAAATTATATCTATCGATAGAGCAGAAGCTCCTCTAGAAAAATTTATATTTCATATATTCTATCACGTACTTCGTAAACCAAAATAATTCTTTATAATAGGTGAAATCACCCATTTTTTTGTGTTTTTTACATGCTCTGTTTTACCATCTTTTGCTTGTGTTATGCAGTTGATTTTCAAGAGTCTAAGGCAAATTTTATATAGTTTTGTAATGTCAAAAGAGACATCTTTTGGTAAAAAGATGTTGATTGTAAATACTAGCGGCTTCCAGAAAAGTTCACGGCAATATTGCCCGTTTTTTTATTAGAAGATCCAATATTTTGTAGGAAGCTTAAATTGTTTGATCTTATATTATAGGAAGAATTCAAAAGAAGATATGACCGAGTTGAAACCATAAATCAATAATTATCACACTAGAGGGTTTGAGCAGATGTCCAAAATCTGTATGTCTTCTTCACCACCGGGAACCTAAAGAAGAATTGTCGATAGCTGTTGAAAACCAGCCTCCTCCCATCGAGAAATTTGATTTCTTCTTTGATAAAATATCCCAGAAGGTATCTGAAATTTCTCGATTCAATAATATTAAAATACTTGTATATATTGATTTGAAATTTCTTAGCACAAAAATGAAATTTGCCACATGTTTGAGATAAGTATTCTTATTAGAAAAATTGACTGTATTATTATTTTGAGTTATTTTACTAACAATGGAACCTTTTGTACACCCATAGCTTACGTAGAGCAAATTGATTAACTTTCAAGGTATATGAAATTTAGATTTAAAAATGAATCAGAAAAAGTTTTCCACTATTGCAAAGACAAAACATGGTGTTGTTCGGATCATATGAAAGAGAGTCCCACCAAACTCCCTAATTTGCCCAAGCAAAACCATGTTTTTGTCCTTGTAATAGTGGGAAAAGCCTTTCCTGATTCATTTTTATATCTAAATCTCATATACCTTGAAAATTAAATAACTTGCTCTACGTACGCTGTGGGGATGTAATATTTAAAATTTGTTAGTTTGGCGATGAGAGCTTTTATTTGACTCGAATATGGTCAATCTTCTTGATAGAGAGTACAAAAGGTCCCATTGTAAAAATATCGTAAACAATCATGAAAAAAAAATTTTCTCGAGCGTTTCCATTTGACCGTCTAATGCACTTACACTCACGACAGCTGTTAATTAGGATGTTTCGAACTCGAAGTAACTCCATACTTTACAGCAGAACCTTTTCTAAGGACAATCATATATACTATATGTTGACGATGTCAAATCAACATAAAATCACAAAACAAGTAAAATAGTTTACTTACATTTTCTTTTCATGTCTTCGTTTGACTATCATCACCATCTTTGAAACCTACGAAAACAAACCGATAACAATTACTTTCTCTCAAATTTCTCTGGGCTTCATTAGTTTCCATAATATTGATTGAGAACTTGCTATGAGACATAGGTTGAAACAAATTTTCCACAACTGATTTGCTTTTTGTCATTTTGATGTCTGCAACGTCTTCGAAAATCAAATTCCGAAACTCAATTAAAATAATTTTCTGTAACTCTTTTTTCTTAACTCATTGTAATTATATCAGAGTAGAAAGATGCTATCAAGATGATATAAGATTTAATAAAGTCTTATTGACATTGGGATATCATAAACTTCCTACTGTATGATCTAACAAAACTGTAAAAAGATCTTTCTGTAACGCGTATTATTTTTCTTTCTGCAACATTCTAGTGCTGATTTTACATGATTCTCACTGAAAGATTCTTGCAAAGTCTGATTATTACAGTGTTTTAAGATCGTTTGCGATCATACACGATCATGAATTTCTTCCCGTATGCCGATGGTTCTTTTACTTATTCTTTAATGCATCAGCATAAATATTCGAGCAATTGAATATTAATTTGTTTACTGTTCGACATTTACAGTTGAGAACCAAACATCTTTACAAGTATCAAACCATTGATTCAGTTCATTTGACGCATCTTTGACGTTAAGGAAATATGCTCAGTTTTAACTACAAGCCTTACAAACCGAAACTCTAATGAACTTCATCAAACTCATAAGATACTTAGAAGTAGTAATCATATTATTAGAAAAAAAATGACTCTTTCATGTCCATGCATTTATAGAAAGTACGGGTAGCAGTGCTTCTCAGGATTCTGCGGAAAAATTCTTTGAAATAAAAGATATCTCACAGCGGGTCTGTCAAAGCAATGTGATGAGTAATAAAAAGGTCATCACCATCTAAAAACAGAATTTAGCTAAGTCAACATTGTTTAATTTTCATTACTCTAAAAACAGCCACCGAACGTTGAACATGACTTCGCCTCAATGAAAACTATTGACTTATGTTTATCTAATGCTGAACAATATCTTTGATACCTATAACTATAGCTTTAATTCTATCATCATTAGCTTACTCGTAAGTTCATTGTGATCAATATCCTGTCTAGACGAGAATAGTTTCAATCTTTTCATCAATCTTTTCTCATCCAGAAAAAAACTTACCAATACAACACATCGATGATTACCTATTTTCCTCTGTAACAGATTGCTTTCATCTCTCATCACTGTCGAACAACAGTATTACAAGCTCAACAATTCTTTTATTATATTATCAAGCTGATCTCCTCGTCAACATGTTCCACAAAATTCTATCCTTTTCATTTCTTAATCTCCGTTCTTGTTAAGGTCATTGTACACGATATTGCGATCCTCAGGTATGAGCGTCACATTTTTTGTTCATAAACTTAACGATCAGATCATGATATATAACACCTTCAATATACAGAGCGATATAGATTTTCTTGAGATCCCTTCTGATATCCGTTACTGCACACAATATTCTGATAATAAGATACGACGGTCATTTTTAGTTCATGCGTTTTCATTTAGAACATGGAATAGGAGATATTTCGTTCACATGTTTCATATTAAGAAAACACTGTAAAGCATCATTCAAATACTCATATAATTATTTTTTCTAACCTAACTGTTTCCTTTTTTGTTTTCAGAAGGAAATCAGCTTCTACAAAGGATCCGCACCAGTTTCATTTCTTAATCAATTACTTGTCGTCCATGTTGCTTGTCAATGATATTGAGAGATAAGTATCATTGTTAATTTCAGTTAATTTATTTTATGTTGAAAAAAATTCATCACAAATATTCTTCACATATCTCGATATAATTTTTCTTAACTTCTCGTTGTTTTTATGTAGATGAGCAAGGATAGCTGACGAAAGTTATGCGCAGATATTTGTTTTCTTCAACTGATAGCTTCTGGTCGATGGTGCTCTGTCAACGATACAGATAGATCAGTATGATTGTCATTTTCGATTTGTATGTAATTATTTTATTCAGAAAATTAAAAAAAGACATTCTGTACATACAGATGTAGTTTTTCTTTGCTCAGATTTTGTGTTGAATTCAAATCATGAATGACAACTACAATGATACTTGGGCAGTTTCTTTACTTTTGTGTATTCGTCTGTGTTTATCGAGTTTATTCCATAAAAAATATCGATAGTGAAGAATTAGTTTCCTTTCAGATATCACGATTCAAATTTAGGTATAACTGTTGAAGATCTTTAATATATATGTGCAACTGTTAATTCTCAGAGATGGTTCGTGATCTACAGGACAGTGAGGAATGTTTTGTGAATATTGACTGCAATATCATTTTTTAATTCTAAGTTGTTCTTCTTTTGAGTGTGACAGTTTAGCTTTTTTTATGGATTAAAAAGGACTATGATTATCTAATCGAGCTTTTCTTCATGTAGATGAGTGCAATTTTTGATTTCGTCAGTTTAGTAGTTTCTTTTGTCATGTAGAAAATAATTTTTTTCT